TCCTCTGAGTGAAATTACAGACACAATGTTTATGGTCTGTTATGTTGCAACAATCTAATTGTTGTATATATGTATAATTATATTTAAGGGGAACTTAACTAGTGCTTTTTATTTAATTACAAGTGGATTCAGAACTTGAATCAGTTTTGCTACTGTCAAAGAGGAGCACTAAATGTCAAAAGAAGCTGATTGAAGTTTTCTTGTTGGCTGATTACAGGAATTTTCTCTCTATATCGTCTGTTTGTGCTGTCCATTAAATTTCCTATTTCTCCTTGCCTGCTGTTCGTATCATCACATGCTGCAAGGTAATCAGAGAAAACAACGTGACTGTTTTGCCACAGGAACAATATCACTTTCACTCCCGCGACTAGAGCTGCTTTGATTCCTGCTGAAAGGGGAACACAGAGTTGTGTTTATCCTTTTGTCACTTTCCTCTGCTGTACTCTCGTCTACCTCCCACTTCAACTCCCATTCACTTTCAGGTGCCAGCAACAGCTAAATGAAAGAAGACAATGAACATTATTTATTAGCCGACAAAATAGAATCGTGTTGGATTTTTTTAAAGGAATGAGGTTTATAATGAATATGTCTACAACTAGACATGCATTAATCATTTTCTTAGTATCATCTTGCTGATCAATAAGCCTGGTTAACTGACGTGATGAATTCTCCCTTGGGCTTTGGACATTATGTGTGTCTGGTCATGTGTAAAGTCCCCTCAAGGTCGTCCTCTTTGTACACATTGTGTTGTATATGCAAAGAGGCTGTGAGAGGAGGGCTGAGAAAAAGATAAAATGCAAGGCTAATATTCCATCAACTTGGCTCCTGAAGGGTTTAACACCTATAACCTTTGCACCTTTAAAGACATCTTATGTGTGATAGAGGTGCCGATACTAGTCATGGATTATTATACAGAAAGAGACAACCTAGATTTGCCACCTGTCTCTCAGGATCCCAACATTATTGGTTGTAAAGGGTCAGGTGGTTGGTTCCAAAAAGTGAAATATCGCCAGAAGCACTGATTGTATGGACTAGTGTAGAAGTTCACACCTGATCTGACCTCAGGGACCCGACATCAAAGATCACGACCCAAATTTTGGATGTTTTTTAACCAATCAGATTTACTCAATGAAAAATTGTGCAGTTTGGATCTCAGATGGTACAAAACATGTGACAGAACAAAGAAAAAGGAGGGAAACACATTTTTTTTTTTTTTTAAAGCTTCATAGACTTTTTGACACTTTTTTTTTTCCAGACACACATTCATGACCCACTGAAATTGGCTTTGCGACCCACTTGGGTTCCCGACCCACCAGTTAAAGAACCACCGGAGTACTGTATGGATTGTCCTTGCTTTTTGGTTCCTCCCTTAAGCTTTTTGATAGTACCTTGGCTTTACATTATGTACAGTAAAAAATAGTTTATTTTACTCGTTGGCACAACTACAGTCACTATGGTGTCCATTCTCAGTCACAAATCTATGTCCATATAATTCAGCTTACCCACAGACATGATATTCAACAATGCTGATTCATGACGCTTACTTATTCATGCATTTTTATGAAGCATATTTTTACCATTTCTGTTTATGCATCCATTCTTTGTGAGTCCCTTTGTCTTCCTCCCCTCCTCCTCCTCATCTCTCTTTATCCACACCCACAAACATACACTTTACTTGGCTGTTGTGATAAATGCGTTTAAGGACGACCTTCTCCTCCGGTTTTATGTTGCATTCGTCTTTGTTTTTCACAAGTGTTTAGATTATTTAAAACTTGATCTTTTATTTGACGTTGGCAGCTACGTTCAAAATAAATCTCAATTTTCTTTGTAACCTTTGGCGGCATAGCAAGAGCACTCGATGAAAGATTGGTATTATTTGTCTATAAATCAAGATGAAAATTGCCCCCTTCTACAATTGACTGAATATAAAGTTGACGTCTTCGCATTATAGCGCTTGATTTGGTGTTGCGAGCTACGCCAGATATTTTTTTTTCCCTTGCAGTTTATATGAAGAAAACAACAAAGCTTAAGGAAAGGCTTTTTGTCTGCCTTTTGTTCATTGGAATGAGTGATGCATTGTAAGCCCAAGCTATTACAGAGCTTATATAAATAACTAGGATGTTGACCACAGAGGCTGTTTTTATGCTCTCCTTTAAACACACACAAGTTAACTTCTTGTTTTTTTAAATTGCTTCTGTCTTTCTTGTACCCTTTCATGTCCTCCAATGTATCACTCAGCATTCTGCAGTTTGTTTTTCTTCAGCTTGTCCAGAAGTAAGCCATACAGCGGATCACTTAAAGATACGAAATGTGGTTTTCCGTGCTTTGAAATCTGCAGATCTACGGCGATGTGTGCCTTTTGTGGGAATGACACTGGCATGCCTTGCAGTCATTAGAATCATTTTTACATGTTTTAGAAATCATCTCTGTTTGGAAAGACTAAATATACACCTCTGTTTCTCCTGTGACCCACTTGTGATGTATATTCAGAAGCTACCACTGTGGCCGTGTTTGTACCCTGGAAAAGCAGCATTGCTTCTGTGCTCATTTTACTAATGACATCCCTAAAGAATCCATGTCCATCTATTGACACTAGATTACTGGAGCAAAGAAGGCTAGTGCTATTCATGTATGTATTTCTAAGGCCATACATACAACATAATCAGAGGACATAAATATGCCCAAAGCAGTACATTAGATACACCTTTGCTGCACTTTTATGTGTGCCAGTTTGTCTCGACAATAAGTGACTCCCATGAAAACAATAGTCTGTTTTGTAGTCCCATGGCTTCCCTCTGATCCTGTTAATGGCTCCCCTGGTTAGCTCAAGCTACTGTTCCTTGGCTGCCATAGTTACTATGATCAGCATTGCATACAAATTATTACTCAAGCCACAATGAATGACGAAAAAAAAAACGTTCCCATGGCTCGATACAATCATGCAAATGTAATTGTTTGCTCTCTTTCATCCATCTGTCCATCCTACCACGCTGTTCATTTTCCTTCTTCACCATTAGCGACGATGAGATCATTGTGACAAGAGCGTGTGTTGCTCTTAGGCCCCCATCGGTGGAGACACAGGCTATGTGATAGTGTGGTTTTCTCACTGTCATCCCCAGGAGTCAGCTCTGTGCGAATTGAGTAGGAGGGATTGTGAAACTCCCAGTGACTGGATCCATCCAGCCACTCAGCTTGCTGCAAAGTCTAGTAATGACAGTGACCTCACCTCTCTCGCTCTTATTCTGTAGCTTCTGGACTGATCGAGTGTGTGCATCTCCGTAGTGTGTCTGTTTTTTGTGTACTTTTGAATTTGTCGCTAAGGGTCGTATCAGTGCCAGGAGCGGATGTGATCCACAATCTTGCCATCCAATTTTATTGTCAGAAAATGAGGGAAAAAAAGAGCAAATCCAAGCTATGGAATTGATGTAAAGCAAGACAAGGTTGACCCTCATGTCACCGAGGCCACGTCTCTTGACAGCTTGTCCATTACCCCGCTCCTCTTTCTCTTGGCGCTTCAATTACAGTCTAGTGGATGGGCTAACCTTGTAGATGTGAGGGCGGTGTAGGTTAAATGTTGTAAGTTGTTGAGGAGGGCTGTCCTTATACGTGTTTATTTTGGTAATCAATCAATGTTTGGAGCAAATCACATTGACTAGCTGCAGCATAAGGTGGAGCAGTTGCTGTGCATGAAATATACGTCTGTCTGTTGCATGATTGGCAATGGAGGGACATCCATGAATTTTTGGTGCACTCAGTTTTTGACAATTACAGATGCATGGACACTAATCTAAATTTACAGATTTGGCATAAAATGCTGAATCTGAAGGCATATGACCAGATTTTGATATTGGTAGTGTTCTTATATTCTTTTGCAGTATGAGTTTTATCCACCATCATTTCGGTGGGCAAATGTTGGCAACAGTCTGTGTGGAGAGCAAAAGTTGTGAAACAAAATCCTCCATAATGCAATCCTGGAACCCACTGGCTGTCATCTTACAACGATAGAGCGGAAATTGCCCTTTTCATATTACCAGTTCAAGGCACCATATTTTCAACAATGTAATGTAAATGTTGGTACCAAGTCGCCCCACCTCTGGGACAGCATTGGGGATGGTAACAGAGATGTTACAGGGGCGACACAGAATCACTGTCGCTGTGTACACACACACAACAAGAACTTATCATACCTGTACAGTTTAACAAAAGCTTTGAACAGGAGTGTGAAACGAGGATGTCATTAGGCTGTGATCCCTCCTACGTTGAGCAAATTGCTGATTTCTTTTTGATTTTATCTTTTGTCTAAATTTTTGCCAAGGCCAATTCATACTAAAAAATAAATTGCATTTCATCGTTAAAACAAAATGCTTTCAACTTGGTACTCTGATTTTTTTTTTGTCCATGCAGTTTATATTTGAATGAGTTGTGCAAAGCCTTGAAAGTGAAATACAATGTATGACTGTGATTCAAATATTCAATAGGCATATCTTAAAAGAGATGAAGGGACAAGTTTGTGTGAATGCCTTTCTGCACATAACTTTTTAAATCTATATTATTTTTAGTTCATTTTTCTCACACCACTTGTTTTGATAACCTACATTTGCGAGAGGTTGTGTAAGTGTTTGTGTCAATAAAACTAAAGCCTTAACAGAGACTTTAACATGGTACTGCATCTATGCTCCTGTCCTGTCTGATCCCCTAAGACTCTTCTTCCTGTTTGAAGTCTCTACTTGAAAGGCCTGATCTGAATACTGTGGATTTCACAGCAACTCTGTGCAAACAGTGATTTACAGACCGATTAATGAGCCACACACACACACACACATTTTCACATGCTTGCTTTCTGGGCCACACACAAGTAGACTAAGCAGGAGTCTGTGTGTCACAACTTATGGTCTGACTTCTTCAACAAAGTTTACAGAGATTTGTCCTGTTTTTATCCCTCTGCTGAGTCATAATTGTAGTTTCTCATCCTTTTCTTTACTTGTATTTTTTGTCTACAGTGTCTGCTGAGATCTTAAAAACCAGCTTGACCACCATGGAACGTCATATTCAGAGGTTGGAGAACGACATCGAGAACTTCCCCAAAACGGACGACCAACAAGATAAGTTTGTGGAAAAGATGTCGATATCCTTTTATCGTGCCCGTTTTGATACCTTCTCTTGGTTTAAAGGTGACTCTGTTGCTTGAAACCATATGTATTCTGTTGGCGTATTAGGATGCTTTGTGTACCATTTTGTTGACAGCAGTGGCAAAAGTGTTTGCTGCTCTGCTTGTCATTGGTAAGCAGTTTAAGTCACTTGGTGTGATAGGTGGCACCCAAGGGAACGCAGGGAATGGATCTGGCTGCCTTGCCGTGAGATGTTGATCAGATCTCCCTCCTCACCCCCCCCCCTCCCCTGGGTCCCTGGAGTGAAATCATGCCTGTGGCTATTTTTACTGCACTTTGCCACGGTCGCCTTTTTTCCCCCGGGGGGCTCTAATAGGGGCTCTAGCCCCTCACACCAACTTATCGCCAATCCCTGATTTCATCTCCTGACCGACCACGAGCCTCTCCACACAGCCGTCCACTCACTATCTCCTCTCATGGCACCTCTCCTGTTCCGATAACAGAGTGTTTCACTTAAAACCGAGCAGCTCTGCTCCCAAATTGAATTAGCCATGTCTCTACACTTTCTTGAACGCCCTTTCTGAGCGGAAAGGTCCTCTCTGTATAGGTTTGATCAGTGGTAGAAATCAAGCCTGTTGTCAATAGCCTGAGGGTAGGGCTCCTTTTTATGTGAAAAAAAACAAAAAACTATAAAAGAGTCAGCAGCATCTCTTTTGTTCACTTCCAGCTTTATCAAGAAAAGAAAGAACTACTCAAGCGTAATTTAATGAGTGAGTTGGTGTTTCCACATGTGCACATTAGCTGGCATTTAACCTGATTTTTTGCTGCCTTTTGTCTGAGATATATAAAGTCTGACTTGGCACGTTGGGTGGTTGAGAGTAATAGCCCTCAAACACTTGAACAATCTGCTCCAAGTCAAAAGAAGGGCACTTAAATTTGTGTAATTAAAAAAACTGAAGCAGAAACCTCCCAGGCGGCGGTGGCTTGGAGGCAGAACAGGCAGGCAAGAAAGCTACTCTGCCCCCTGATGTCAGTATCGATTCCCAGGTTCCTTCGGGAACTAAAGGCTTGAGTGAGAGGAAATGGAGAAGTGTAGATATACTGCTGCATGGCACTCCCTCACTGTCTGGAGTTCCTCCCCAGAGTGTGGCACAGGGAAGCTGGCTGTCCGTGACCTGCCAACGCCCCACTTCCTCCTCTTTTCCCCCTTTTCTTTTTTTCTCACCTCACCTGATCAAGTTTTTTTTTTGTCTCAGGAAGGAGGCTCAGCAGGATTTAATAAGCTCTATTTTTGTTCCTGCCTCATATGAAGTAGTCGGAAAGCACTGACAAGCATATATATTTCATTCTCCATCTGTGTCGTGTCCCATTTAGGGCTGTTGTCATTATGCTTAATGATACAGTTTCCCTTCCCTTGATTTTACGAGTGGCAGAATTGCTTTGGTTATACATATTTTTTTTAATCATAATTTCAACTGTTTTAATTTCTTTTGGGATGCAGCCACATGGAGTGAAGAAAAAAGAGTCAAATGATGAAAAAAGTGCATGCACATTTCTCTTTCTGTTAGCACCCTGCAGTGTTGTTCAGCATTCAATCTCATGTGTATAATAAGTGAGAGAAATCAATAATAATCTAATCATCATGAAACAATTTCAAGGAAATTTTAACTTAACCATGGGGTCATGAGTTCTGTATTTTGTTTCAATTCAAAGTTGTATTTCTCCCCATGGTATTTATTTAACATTATCTGAAAAAAGTATGTGGTCATATTTTGGTCACAGCCTGAAAGGTGGATGTTGGTTTCCAACAGTAGGATATTTGTGTTTGTGTTGTATACATCTGTGTCTCTATTTAACCCACTCTCTGAAGTCTCCCAGAACGATATATTAACCACCTTGTATGATAATAGTTTTTCCAGGCTGTTTTCATGCAGTAGTTAGAGTGAGCACAGGCTGTGCATGATTTGCTGAGGTTTGTAGTATCTTTAGTAGCTTTGGTAAAACTCTAATCTGTGTTGTGCAGCTAAGTGTTGGAACAATGACAGCATGAAATACAGTGCTGTATTTTTTGGGGGTATGACATTTCCTTTGGTACACATAAGATAGCAGAGTCAAGGCACACATAGTACCTCTTTAAACTTTTCTCTGGATTAAAAAAAAGGATGTTGGCTCCTTGAAGCATGACAGATGGAAGAACAACAACAGCTAAAAGTCGTGCATTTGATGCCTGAGCAACCCTGAGAAAGTTAAGTGAAGCTCTGTTGTCTTGACTATTGGGCACTGTGATGAATGAGTCAGTGTGCTTGTGTGTGTCTGTGTGTGTCTGTGTGCGTGTGCGCGTGTACGCGTGTACACGCCTTGTGTGACAAAGATACAGAGTGAGAAAGAGAGAGTCATTTACAGTGCATGTGTAGATTAGCATGTGTGCCTCTGTTTCAGTGACTCTTGTCAGCTGTGATTAATTTTTGGATGCCATGGTCACTGCAAGGTATTCTAAATGTAAAATGTGCCCCCAAAGCAGCGTAGTTTTAATTAAACATTCAACGTTAAATTAACTTTTTTTTTTTGTTGTTGTAAAATTATGATTAATTTCTGGGACAAACAGTTTTTGACATTCTGCAATGACTTATAACAATCTGATATGTTTACCTTTTAAAATGAAATCATTCGATGAGATGAAAGTAGTGCCAACAGATCAGCGTCACTTATACAAATACAAGAAGAAAGAAATGCTTAAAGAAAGGAAAAATACAGAAAGTATGCAAAGATAGGAATGCATGGGAACGATGGGAAGAAAGACAGAAAGTAGAGCTTAGCAGAAGCACTTCATTTGGCTTTATTGATACATTTTTCTCTTTCCATTACTGTAATGTATGCAAATGACTGAATGGGGTGTTTGTTCAGCAGTTTAGTGATCTCTATCTGTCAGAAGTAATGGGAGCCCACAAAGGCTGTAGAGTTGAGGCACAGGCCCCCAGAGATCCCTATTTCACCAGAGAGGCTATGGCCATCAAACACACTCACACTCTCACACACACACTCCTACTCATTTCCAGTTCGTGCTGGATATGATGGAGTAGAGCTGGTGGGGGCTGAGAGCAGGACTCTGCATACTGGAATATTAATGGTGGGGATGTGGCTCGATGAGGAGGATGAGAGAGTAGACTGAACCTTGATGGGTGCCTGGACAAGTCCAATACATCTCCGCCTGCTGTACTCAATGCCTTAACCCAACCGACTGATAAGTAGCTTAACCTTTTATTTCCCACAAGGGCCAGAGCCAGAGCACATCACTCTGTGCCGTCTACACCCCTTGAGTGACAGGGAGCTGTCCACAGGGGCCAGTTGCAATAAGAGATGTAAGACTGGGCTAATCAATTTAACCCAGTCTTTTGCAAGAAGGACAATTTCACAAAGATTAAGATTTATAATAAAGGTTAACCACCCTAAAGCTCCGGGGTAAACCCTAGATTTTCCATAGATCCTGGTTGATTTTTTTAAACACTTTGTGCCCATTTGGTTCCAGGTACTCAGAAAAAATCACCACTTACAAAACTCCATCAGGGAAAATGTAATTAAATATATCATCCCTATTTACCTGTGAACAGCGAAAAAGGTCGCAGTTGTAAGGACTCATTCTTTATTTAGAAATGTACATTTTGCACTTTTGGAATGGGTATTATTTCAGCCGTTAGAAGCCTTGACAAAGCTTATTTGAGCTCCTGAGTTTTTTCGGTCTATAATTAATATATATTTTTTTATATATACAAAGGGTCTCAATCGCTAACAAGCGTAGTCATATTCCAGAATCTGTGGCAGGCAAACACTGCAGCTTATTTGATTGGATAGGTGCTGTCAAAACTGAAAAAAACTGAAAGTTCAACTCAACCCCTTTATTCTTTCAGTGCCACTTCTTAGCAAAACCCAGTATGTTCACCACATTTTCCATACATTTTTATTTTTTTACAACAACCTTTTTACATTAATCTTAATCTTTTTTTTAGGTTGATGTTCTCCAACAATGTGCAGCCTCTTAATCATTCAGACACCCATTGTTTGTAGCGTTAAATTCACCTCTGAGATAACTGGCTCAAATAGCCAGCTATAAAAGAATTGCAATTGTAGCACAGGGGGACACTGAGGGCCAATCACGTAGCAGTGATAAAATGATTGATGGTCATACTTAGCATGCTTCTACCAGTGTGCAGAGCTGAGTGAAAAATCAATTTACTCTTGTAGTATTCTGCCTTATTGAAATGATTCAGATTTTAAGTTTGCCTTTTTTACAGACAGTAGCTATATGTTTATAGTCATTAATGACCTCTTATGGTGAAAAGTCCGGGAGTCCTAAAGCCCACACAACTGAGCGTACCAGATTCTCACACCAACTTAGTCGCCCACACGGGGTCAGAGCTGACACACTTTGTCGCGGCCCTGGGGCTAACCTGTAATAACACCTTTATGGCTTAAAAATCGACAGATGCATTTTCGCAGGTACCACCTTTTTGTTGTTCTCAGAGCCTTCGGCCTGATTTAGTTCACACATCAAAGGAGGAGGTTCACTACAACGCGTTTATGGCTGGCCTTTGTCGAACAGCAACAGTTGGAGGCTCTCTTTGCTTCAGGCTACGTATGTGTACAGGTTTGTGTAACACAGCATTCTCTTGTATTGGCACCAGGCACTTAAGGTTAAATAAATGGTGTTAGTGAAACAATTGTTCTATTTAGCAGGCTGTTGAGTCTAAACCGCAGAAACATCCCCTGTTAAAGGCTTGTTTTGTCTGGAGGAGCACAGACTTGTTTGCAGAAACTATCCCTGTTAAGTACCTTTATGTGTGTGAATGAGAGGTAAGCCCGATTATTTACAGAATCATGTTTATTTCTGCATGTTTGTATAGAAGAAAACTGGGTTAAAGGATGCTGGTGGCACTCTCGGCAGCTCCTTATAATTTTTAAAGCAGAAATACACAAACATCCACCCCTCCCCTTGTCACACATACACACATAAGCTCTCTCT